GGTGTTGGTAGTTCTGCTCCAGCTCCCACTCCATTGTTACCAGGTGGGTCATGTCTCGTCTTACCTCGCTTGCATTAGCCCAAACATGCATGCCCTCCCTGTAGTCATAGATGTCCCAAAATCTAAACTCCTCCATGCTGCCGAAATCAATGTCTTCCTCCAGGGCATCCCAAGGTAGACCAGGGCCATCGAAATCGTCATCTTCGGGCCAGTTGTGCTTGGCCGTCCAGGGGGTCTGCTGAACCGTATACCACCATAGGGCCTGGTAGGCATCGTCTAGCCAAAGCTCCCGCCATACCCGGTGCTCGAGCTCCTTCACCCACTCCTCCAGGGGCTGCTCTCCCAAGAGACACATTTGCATCGCCACACGCTTCTTTAGCCACTGCTCGTCACTGGGGAGACTCTCGCCGCGCCGGCGCTGTACGTCCTCCAGGGCCTCGTACCACAACTCCTTTCGAGTGGCATCTCTCCAGTCCAGTATGCCCTCCTCTGATACAGGCCCATCCTGTTGGGCCAAGTGTTGCTTCAACCTCCAGAGAAACTACTCCTCACATGGGGACGCTGCATGGGTGCTAGCTCGCTCCATTCTCCCGCGTTCCCACCTCCTCCTCGTCATGGAACGCCGTCCGTAAACTAGCCGATTCCATACTGCTGTAGCCAGGGGCACGGTACGTTGTCCTTAATTAGAATTCATACGATACCGGTGTCTCCAGGATGCTTCAGTGTTTCTAGGAAGCCATACCACCACTGCCACCAATTTGACAAACTGCCTGGCACCCCGACTGGCTACCTCCATCAATAGCTGCTTCCTAGTAGTAACGAGTACCATAAGCACTGCACTGGAACACCATAACCACCGTAAACCACATGAACCGCTGCAGCTTGGTTGGGGTCTCGCCGTTCTCCACCCACCATGGACCCTAGACCACAATCCTGCTTCCAGTGTGTAGACCTCTCCTTGTCCAGAGTCAGCATAGCAGGAACAAGCTCTTACAAGAGCTTAGTGATTATGTGACGAAGCGCCCTTCGCCACTTGTGCCTGGAGAGGACTGCTTGCCCGCCTCTTGCCCTGTGACTATGGCCCCTGGGATGTATTGCCCTTTAAAGACATGATTTGGGCATAATGGATTTGTGTTGTGCTGCTGCTGGCCCTTTAAGAACCATCTGGGGACATACTGTGGAGTTACTGGGTGGCCACCATTTCCTGTATCAGAAGCACATGGTGAGAACAATGGATGGCGGCCATTTTAGCTCCCAGACACTGTTTGGACTTTTCAACACGGTGCCATCTCGCCAGTATTTGGTGCACAGAGACATCGTGCAGTGGTTTTGGACTATACAGCAGGGGACACATTATAAAGTGATTGTTTTTTTATTTAGCCTGTATATGTTCTGCAGAATCTGCATTAAACTGTATTTTCCAAAGTACTGAACGGATCTGGGTGAATTTTGGATATGTGGTTCACCCAGATCCCCCGGTTCCAAGGATATGCAATAGCTTGATTTGTTCCTGTTCCTGCTCTCTGGGGAAAGAGAGGTTCACCCACTGGAAGCTGGATCCTGGCCTTGGGTCCAGGGTGGGTAGAAACAGCAGAGACCCCTGCGCAGTTGCATCGCTGGAAGTGGGGTCTGCAGTGCTGATGGTGTCGGTTGGAGTGCTTGGAGTCCTCAGCGAGCACTAGGAGCATCGATTGGCGGAGGTACTCAGTCGGAGTGCCAGCGTTCCGTCACATTTGGTGGCAGCGGTGGGATGGCGTCCTAGTGCGAGGACCAGCAGCTCGGAGACACCGGTAACGTGTGGAGTTACGGATTTATAATTGAGGGCAACGCTAGCACTTGTGCAGCGACCCTGGCTTCAGAGGAACTCAAGGGATAGAGCTAGCTACGGGCAGCGTCCCTATCCACAGCAACATGGAAGAGGAGTTTCGCTGGAGGTTGCAGCAGCACTTGGTCCAACAGGACGGGCCTGTATCAGAGGAGTGCATACTGGACTGGAGAGATGTCACTCGTACGGAGATGTGGCACGATGCCCTGGAAAAGGTACAACGGCGGCGGGGAGAGAGCCTTCCCAGTGACGAGCAGCGGTTCCAGGTACTCAAGGCCCTGCGCTCCCCTTTCCTAGGGGAGCAACCCTTGGATGAATGGTTGTTGGAACTCTGGGATTTAATTTGGAAGGAGTTGTGGCTAGATGCAGCTTACCGGGCATTAAAGTGGTACGCCACCCAGCGCAACCCCTTGATGACTAACCACTATCTGCCCGAGGGAGAGGATTATAATGGCCCGGGCTTACTGTGGGAGGCCTATGAGGAGGGCGATGACTTTGGATGCCCCACAGAGTTTCGGTTCTGGGACATCCACAACATCAGGGAAACCCTTCTGGATCTTCCCCGAGCGGACGACCTGGGGCCAGACCTGAGTCATCTGGTCGCAATGGAGTGGGGGCTGGAGCAGAGCTACTGACGCCTGTTCAACTTAGCCCAATCACCGTCCCTCAGCCCAGAGGATTACCTGGACACCCTACCCTCTTCTGTCCAACCAGCCCCAGAGGTGAGCAACCTTATGGAACGGTCCTGGGAAGACCCACAGATGGCAGGTGTAGATGGAACCGAGGTCTCTCCACCTGCCCCACAGTGGTGCTGGGTACCCGGCCCAGATCCCCAGCGGCAGTGTATCTCACAGGGAGAGGAGACAACCGGTCTCCCTTCCCAGCAGCAGCCTGAGTTCCAGGAGGAGGTAATGGCAGATCCCTCCCCCATACAGCAACCAGCGTCCTGGGGAGGCGAGGCAACCGGCCTCCCTCTCCTCCACCAACCAGAGGTACCTGAGGTAGTGGACCTCATAGACGTGTCCTGGGGACACACAGAGATGGCAAGCGGAGATGGGACCGAAGTCTCTCTGCCAGCCCTACAGGGATGCTGGGCAGTCAGCCCAGGTCCCCAGCGGCAGTATAATATACAGGGAGAGGAGACAACTGGTCTCTCTCCCCAGCGGCGGCCTGAGTTCCAGGAGGAGGTGATGGTCGATCCCTCCACCTTACAGCAACCAGCGTCCTGGGGAGGGGAGGCAACCGGCCTCCCTCTCCAACAGCAGCCGGAGGTGGGCGACCTCATAGACTTGTCCTGGGGACACACAGAGATGGCAAACGGAGATGGGACCAAAGTCTCTCTGCCAGCCCTACAGGGATGCTGGGCAGTCAGCCCAGGTCCCCAGCGGCAGTATAATATACAGGGAGAGGAGACAACTGGTCTCTCTCCCCAGCGGCGGCCTGAGTTCCAGGAGGAGGTGATGGTCGATCCCTCCACCTTACAGCAACCAGCGTCCTGGAGAGTGGGGGCAACCAGCCTCCCCCTCCAACAGCAGCCAGAGATATCGGGAGAGGGGGAAGACAAACCTAACCACACTGGCGCAGATGGGACCGCGGTCTCTGTGCCAGTCCTACAGGGAGGCTGGACAGGCGGACCAGATCCCCAACCAACCCCGCAGGGATGCCAGGAGGAGGAGGTAAGCAAAACTTCCCCTCCTCAGCTACATCCCAACCGGGTCCTGGGGGCAGTGGATGAGCCTGCGATACCCACTGACCCCCTCCCAGCAGAAGAGCTGGCATCTGGGCAGAGCTCTGTTAGCCTCTGCCCCCCCTTTTCCCCTGTATCAGAGCCTGACTTACCACGGGTTACCCCAGCAGAAGAGCTGGCATCTGGGCAGAGCTCTGTTAGCCTCTGCCCCCCCCTTTTCCCCTGTATCAGAGCCTGACTTACCACGGGTTACCCCAGTGGAAGAGCTGGCAGCAGGGCAGAGCGCCGCTGGCCTCTGCCCCCAAGCAACACCAGCAGTTTGCCTAGCTGCACCAGGGAGACCGAGAGTGCTGCGCTGTCCCACTACAAACGTGAACCTACAGGCCAGTACCATTTATTGTGGGGGGGTTACTCTGTGTATTTTTCTTTGTGGGTGGGCTGCCCAACTAATCTAGGTACTGACCGGCAGAAGGTCAGGTACCTGTTTAGTCTTCCCCCCAAAGGGAAGATGTGTGACGAAGTGCCCTTTGCCACTTGTGCCTGGAGAGGACTGCTTGCCCGCCTCTTGCCCTGCGACTATGGCCCCTGGGATGTATTGCCCCTTAAAGACATGATTTGGGCATAATGGATTTGTGTTGTGCTGCTGCTGGCCCTTTAAGAACCATCTGGGGACATACTGTGGAGTTACGGGGTGGCCACCATTTCCTGTATCAGAAGCACATGGTGAGAACAATGGATGGCGGCCATTTTAACTCACAGACACTGTTTGGACTTTTCAACACGGTGCCATCTCGCCAGTATTTGGTGCACAGAGACATCGTGCAGTGGTTTTGGACTATACAGCAGGGGACACATTATACAGTGATTGTTTTTCATTTAGCCTGTATATGTTCTGCAGAATCTGCATTAAACTGTATTTTCCAAAGTACTGAACGGATCTGGGTGAATTTTGGATATGTGGTTCACCCAGATCCCCCGGTTCCAAGGATATACTTTTTATGGGGTTATTGCATGTTTTGGGGTCCCTGTGTGTTTTATGAAATTGTAATGTTTCTGGCCAGCAGATAATTGAGCTTTGTGTATTGTAGAAACTCAATTATCTAGCCTGGCCCAGAGGAGGAGTTTTGTGTTGCATAAATTGTGAGTTCTGTGTGCCAGTAAATCAGTCTTGTTCCAGCATTAAGCCTTGGCTCATGTTTGGGGGAAGGGATACCTACACTCTGGGGATTGCTATAATCACTTACTCCCCAGAGGAAGCTCTTGCAATAGCTTGATTTGTTCCTGTTCCTGCTCTCTGGGGAAAGAGAGGTTCACCCACTGGAAGCTGGATCCTGGCCTTGGGTCCAGGGTGGGTGGAAACAGCAGAGACCCCGGCGCAGTTGCATCGCTGGAAGTGGGGTCTGCAGTGCTGATGGTGTCGGTTGGAGTGCTTGGAGTCCTCAGCGAGCACTAGGAGCATCGATTGGCGGAGGTACTCAGTCGGAGTGCCAGCGTTCCGTCACAATGCCTCATAGTTTGTTTATATGTTAGTGCATTTGGATTCGGGGCGGTTTTGGTGGGCCTTCTCTGCCCCTACTATATCCTTGTTTTCTTCCTCCTCTGCCTATCTCCCTGATGCTATATTTCTGTGTTTTATGTTACCTCTGCCCTTTCTATGGCCGGCTGTATATGTGCCGCTCGGGGGTTTGCTGGAGGCTGCCAGTCTCATGCCTCCTCCGACTCCCCGGGCTCCGGAACTGCAGGAGTCACCTCCAGCTGTCCCATGCTTTTCCTGCTGGTCCCTGGGGTACTCGTGATCGAGATTTTCTTTAACATGTGGCCGCTTGCCGCGGCCGCCTCCGGCTCCGGGCCGCGTGTGTCCGACCGGGTGGAGGAGGGGGCGCTTTGATCGTGGCCCCTCCCCCTGCTGTACATGCCTCTATGCAGGTCTGTTTGCATGGTTCTTGCCCCGATGGAGGTCAGGCTCTTCTGCCAGACTATCTGTAGCTACATTATTTTTTATAGGCAATTCTACTTTTTTATTGTTCCTACAGTAAGTGATACTTAGTTTATGCATTAGTATTAAATTATTGGTAAATGAAAACAATGCAAAAATTCTCATACTTGGCTGTCATAAGTTTACAGCTTGGTTTTCAATTTTCTTATTGAGTGTTTTGGTTTTTCTGTTCTTGCTTTTCCTTTTGTGTTTATACAAGCAGTAACGTATGTCACCATTTTTTCACTATATACTTTCCTTGGCCCTGCATCGGATTTCAGTCATCATAGCACCCATTCTAAGATATGATTCGTTACTAGAGGGCGTGGCCCTCCCTCAACCTTTGCCCGATACTGAGATGGATACCGAGGACATGTTTTGAGTGTGACCAACTCTCAATGATGGAGCCAGACACAGATGTAGACACTAATTCTTGTTATTAACGGGTAGAGCAGCCTCATGCTATCAGCCTGATGCTGACAAGGAGTTCGGTTACACTATTAGAGAGTGCGGTTCTCATTTATACACTCAACGCACTACGGTGCCGTCCCATTGTTCATCACACCGGCTTGTACCCATACAGGACAACAATGACTGCATAGAGGGGCGTCCCTCCTGCATTCAATTCTATATGGAGGTACCTACCACCTACCGGGTTTACCGTTGATGCTTCAGCTCTTGTACAGGGGAATAGTACCTCACCGGTATGCAAAGGAGACGATGCTTCCTAACGACTGGGTAAAGGGAGAGAACCCCTCCATTAGATCTAACGACCGTGCTACTTGTAGATGCGAATATCCATTATGCTCAATATCCTAGCTGTTCATATAAGGGTTAATTTGACCCAAGAATAAATTTCATAGAAAGTTTCAGAAGGTGTCAGAAGTTTAGCCTAGATAATTAATTTATTGATGTCGTACTGATCCTTGTGTTTGTATGATTATAGAGACCGTACTGGAGTATTTGTGCTGCCTGATATTTGGGACTACACACCAATCTCTCTGGCTGACCTACCTGCCTACCTACCTTTTTTGCAATTAAATCTGTTTGGTCAAAAACCATGCTGGCCGAAGAAACTGAGATGCTTACTTATGAGGACATAAACTAACTTGGAAAGTCCTGAAGATGCAGTGCTGTCTAATGCCGCTGTTTCTGTATTACCCTTTCAACAATTGGGGTGTTGCACAGAGTATTGTGGTCAACATCCAGCAAACAGAAGAATTAAGAACTATGTGGAAGCTGACATTGTCTTGTCAGCCATATTGCTACCCTTAGCTAGGTTATGGTGTCTAAGATTATGGAACAAAGTTTATGGTGTCTATGATTCTTTACACTCCTTGAAAGACTTATAATATTTTTCTGGACTATGCTGGACCATTGAACTATTTTGTTATTTTTATTTTTGTAGAGTTAGCCGGAGAGAGAGGAAGTGTTAGCTTACTCAGGCATGGATGTACTATGTGTGTCATTGATGTATGTTGAGTGTCCCATGTATTACGTGTGGATATGACTGGACCATCAAAATAGGGATTTGATTAGGAAGCATAGGACGCAAGGTCATGATTGGGATTATTGCTAGAATTGCAAACTGATTAGAAATGATCTTATGATTTAATATGTAAGTGGGCTTTTTCAAACTAATCAAGAAGTGTTTCCCAATCCCGATACCCGAGCTATTTACTTACATAGTGCAGGTTTTATAAGTCACTAATGCTGTCAACGTGAGGGGATGACATGTCTACACAGTCATGGCCCTCACTTAGAATTTACCCAGATGTGCTTTTTTCCTCAGTTATGAGTTTTTGCCACTGGGTTTTTTGACCTGGCCCAAGTTCACTGGGTGGACTGGTCCAAAGAGGGGAAATAGATTTTATTCCCATTTTTGATTATATGTGTTTACGTTGTGAATTATAATAATAATATTCCCGTTGTTGGGAATAATACACTTTGCCTGTTTTGATCCAAGGCTCAAGTTGCAGATAACATGATGTGCAGTCTGCTTAAAATTGGTTAAGATGTCAGCTGTTTGAAATTTTTAACTTGTACACTTAAAAGATGTGTACAACAGATGATTACAGAAGCTGAAAATTGACAGCTCGATCTCCTCTTAAAGGGAACACCTACGGCACAGAGCAAATGGGGGAAATCGAGGTGAAGAAATAATGAAAGTCCCGCAGACGTGATTAGCACGTCTGAATATACCTCCTTTGGTTTCTCTGCCGCAGGCCTCCCATGGATATTCCGTAAGGTAGATCATGATATGATCTAAGAGGGGAATTGTAGATGCGAATATCCATTATGCTCAATATCCTAGCTGTTCATATAAGGGTTAATTTGACCCAAGAATAAATTTGGAATTGTATCTCCAATTCTCGGAAATAAAACTTGTAAAGGATCCTTGCATACGTGCAGCGATGATCCTTGCAGCTTCTCCCGAAATCCCGCTGAAACAGAGTGATTATAGCTTCCAATTCCCCAAACATGAGTCGAGACTTCATGAAGGGGTAAAACGATCTGATTTACTGTGGGCTACCCGCCCGGTATTTATGCAGGTCTTCCACCTGGTGGACACTCCCCTAGGGGACCAGATGGAAGACTGGGACAGAAGTAACACAGTAGCCAATCACAGTGGCTATAGGATAAACACTCCCCTTTACACAACTCACTCCCTCTTTCCCATCCTGGAGATAATTAGATTAAGGTAGCAGAGAGAGCCGTAATTATCTCCAGAAGGAAAGAAACATGCCTTTTTGTATTTAGCAAAAACAGAATAAAAATACATAACTTTCTTTTTATATAACATAAACTTTAAGTTCCACACATCCCCAGATAGCTTGGATCTGAGTGCATATTCTAGGCGAATAGCGCTCAGATCCCACGAACACAGGTCCTAGAATCGTCGACTGAAGTTCGACTTTCCCTGGCCGTTCGTGTGTTTGTAACCGATTGCCAGTCCTCTATTATAGCTATCTGAGGTCGATCACTTTCGCATAGTTTAACGCACGAATGAAGTATTATCCCTTCATTCGTATGGTTCCACCGTATGAACGAGGATGGGTGAAGGTAGCAGCGGCGTTCGACAAAATAGGTCGCTGAAATCAGTTCCAGGGAATCCTCACCATTTGCCGCAGTGCGTTCGACAAAACCAAAATGGCTATTGCCACGTGTTCGGGAGGTGAACGCGGACCACCCGCTATACCAATTAGTTTGTGGTTAACCGCAACAGTCAGGGTGGTCAATGAGTGCCACACGACCTCAGTGGGAGGTCGGTGGTTCGGTAGTTTGTTCACATTATTTGATATTTTCACGAAATCCTGTTGTAATGCTCCAAATAACCGAACAGGCTTGTTCGTGCAGGCTGTGAATAGGGAATTTCGTTACACAGCTCCCCCTTAGTCCCATGGAATGGCATACCTGCGTAGACCCAACGGGTCGGCTAAGGGATGTCCGGTAGCCCAAGAAGAACAAACAAAAACAAATATTACTTTTCCAGTTCCGTTTGTCGGGACAGGCCATCAGCATTGGCATTCTGTTTCCCGGGGCGATACTGCATTGTAAAGTTGTAGGGTTGCAGCGCCAAGCTCCATCTGAGTAGTCTGGGGTTGTCACCAGCTACTCTGTTAAGCCAAATTAAGGGGTTGTGGTCCGTCAGCACTGTGAAGGAGCGCCCATACAGGTAGGGTTGTAGCTTCTTAAGTGCCCAAACTAATGCCAGACACTCTTTCTCCACAGTGGCATAGCTGACTTCTCGGGGTAGCAGTTTTCGGCTCAGATACGCTACCGGGTGATCCATGCCATCGTCTCCCACCTGGCTCAATACTGCTCCCAGTCCAAACATTGAGGCATCTGTGTGGACGAGAAACCTTTTAGTATGGTCAGGTGCCGCCAACACAGGAGATGCACTTAACGCAGCCTTGAGTTTCTGGAACGCCTCCTCACACTCAGGGGACCAGATTACCTGTCGGGGTAGGGACTTTTTGGTGAGGTCTGTCAAGGGTTTGGCAAGGGCACTGTATTCCGCTACAAACTTCCGGTAATAACCTGCGGTGCCTAGGAACGCCATGACCTGGGTTTTTGTCCTGGGTTGGGGCCACTGGGTAATGGCCTCAATCTTAGCGGGCTCTGGTCTCTGTTTCCCTGACCCTACTCGGTGGCCTAAATATTGGACTTCAGCCATGCCCACGTGACATTTCTCAGGCTTCAAGGTTAGCCCTGCATTCTGAATGCGGTTGAGCACTACTGAGATGTGCTCCAGGTGGGCTTCCCAAGTGCCACTGAAGATAGCTATATCATCCAGGTACGCACAAGCGAAGCCCTGAAATCCCTCTAGGAGCCGGTCCGCCATCCTTTGAAAAGTAGCTGGGGCATTCTTCATCCCAAATGGCATAACCTTAAACTGGTATAGGCCAAATGGGGTGACAAATGCCGATTTTGGAATGGCCCCAGGCTCCAAAGGGATTTGCCAATATCCCTTGCACAAATCAATAGTGGTCAAATAATTCCCCCCAGCCATACGGTCTAGCAGTTCGTCTACTCTGGGCATGGGGTAGGCATCGGTAACGGTCCGATCGTTTAACTTGCGGTAGTCCACGCAGAACCTTGTGGTACCGTCTTTTTTAGGAACCAGGACAACTGGGGAAGCCCAGGGGCTTTGGGACGGTTCTATGACCCCCAGTTCTAACATGTCCTGGAGTTCTGTTAACATGCTTTCCCGTACTGCCTCTGGAATTCGGTAAGGCTGCTGCCGCAGGGGTAACTGGCCTGGGGTCTCCACTCTGTGGACTGCCAGGGTCGTATACCCTGGGGCTGCTGAAAACATGCCCCCAAATTCCTTTAGCAGTTGGGACGCCTGAGCTTGTTCCTCGGGCCCTAATGCTGGACCCAACTGTACCTGGTCTACTCCCGTGGGTTTCTGAGGAAGCATATCTGGTAAGGGGATATTCTCTCTATCTTCATATGCTGGAGCGCATACCGCGGAGACCTCCTCTGGTCTCTCAAGATATGGCTTAAGCATATTTATATGAAAGGACCGCCGGACCCTTTCATCGGAACAGTCTGCCACAACGTACGTGGTATCACTGATCCGCTCTATTACCGTGTAGGGGCCCTGCCAGGATGCTTGCAACTTATCTGTTTTGATGGGTTTAAGCACTAGGACCTTCTGTCCTACTTCTAATATACGGTCTCTAGCTCCTTTGTCATACCAGTGCTTCTGTCGTTGTTGGGCGGCTCGCAGGTTCTCCCGAACTGTTTCGGTCAGCGCCTGTAGTCGGTCCCTCAACTCTAACACAAAGGAGACTATAGGGGTACCTGCTTGTTCTATATCACCTTCCCAATGTTCCCGTACCAGATCCAGGGGTCCCCGGACCCGTCTCCCGTATAATAGCTCGAACGGGGAGAATCCGGTGGACTCCTGTGGAACTTCCCTATAGGCAAAGAGCAAATGAGGGAGGAACTTTTCCCAATTCCTACAGGTCTCTGTGAACGTGATGAGCATTTGCTTAAGGGTGCCATTAAAGCGTTCGCAGAGGCCGTTGGTTTGGGGGTGATAGGGAGAACTTAATATGGGTTTTACCCCACAGCTCTGCCAGAGCTGCTGGGTAACCACCGCGGTGAATTGGGTTCCCTGATCTGACACTATCTCTCTAAGAATCCCACCCTAGTGAACACCTGAACTAGGGCTTCCGCTACCGTTTCTGCATGTATATTTGACAGGGCTATAGCTTCGGGGTAGCGGGTAGCGTAGTCCACCACAGTAAGAATGTATTTCTTACCGGATGGACTGGGTTTACTGAGTGGCCCGACTAAATCGACTGCCACTCGGAAAAATGGTTCCTCAATAATGGGTAGGGGACGTAGTTTTGCCCTGGGGTGATCCCCTCTCTTCCCTACCTTTTGACATACTTCGCAGGTCCTGCAATACTCCTGCAAATCTCTAGTGACCCCTGGCCAAAAAAAGGACTGGGTGAGTCTGTCTCTCGTCTTTTTAATGCCCAAGTGACCTGCTAGGGGAATATCGTGGCTAATCCGTAACAGTTCTACTCGATACTTACGGGGCACTATTAACTGTCTTTTTTCTACCTGGCCCGCTCCTGTCCCTGTTCCCCCAGTCACTCGGTACAGTAACCCCTTTTCCCAGCTAAACCTTGCCTGATCTCCGTCTCCCTGGGGTTGTTCTGCCTCCCTCCGATACCCTTTTAAAGTGGGATCTTCCCGTTGGGCTTGCTCAAAGTCTTGAGGTGTACCCCAGTAAGAAGTGTGGTCAGGGGAAATCGTCAGAGGGTTATTGCTTACCTGGTCATGTGTTGAGGGGGAGGCTTCCATAGCTCGGGATTGCTGCTGGGTGGTAACAGGTAGTGCTCCTTCGATACTGCAGGCTGCCAATTGGGACGTCAGGCATCCTAGATCGTTTCCTAGTAATACTTCCGCGGGCAAATCTGGCATGATGCCCACTTCCACGGCATTGGCCCCTGAACCCCAATCAATGTGAACCCGGGCGGTTGGTAACTTGTGAATTGCCCCTCCGGCCACCCTTACAGCAATGGTGCGTCCGGTGTGCTGGGTCGGGGTGACTCGGTGTGGCTGAACCAAGGTAATCGTAGCTCCACTGTCTCTTAGTCCCCGAGCTTCTTGCCCATTGAGCTTTACCGACTGGCGATGATGCGCCCTGTTATCCCCAGCCGCTTGGACAGGGTTCACCTCAGGCAAGGTGGCCCAATTTTCACTATTGCTACTGGGTGTCTCTTGGGTCAGAGGGTTGTAATCCTCCTGCACACAGTGTGCAGCTGCTTTTGTTGGTGGTATCGGTGCCCGCCCCCAGCGGTCTGTAGTGCGTTGTGGGCAATTAGGTTTGATGTGCCCCACTTGTTTGCACCCATAACACATTGGAGCGGTCTTTTGGTACCCCGGGGTTGTGGTATTGCCCCCTGGAGTTGGTACCCTCTGGGGCATAGTTGGCGGGGCAGAGGCAGGCCGCTGGCTCTGGACCCCTCGGTTGCCATCCATCCGCCGGCTCTCATGAAATTCATCTGCCAGCCTTGCTGCCTCTTCCACCGTTTTTGGCTTTCTGTCTCTGACCCAGTCTCTCACCTCCGCTGGGGTATAATCAAAAAATTGTTCCAGTAATAACAATTGTACGGCATCCTCTAGAGTAGTTGCCTGATTCCCCTGCATCCAATTACTGGCAGCGCGTTGCATACGAAATGCCCACTCCGTATATGAATCTTTTCCTTGTCTTCTGAGAGCCCTGAACTTCCTTCTATGGGCTTCAGGGGTTACAGCATACCGGGCTAACAAAATCTCTTTTATCTTGTCATAGTTTTGTATATCCCCATCTGGCACAGCTCTCAACGCTTCGGCTGCTCTTCCTGATAATTTGCTACCTA